TAGACCATAACTGAACCTTAATTTTTGTTCCTAGGTTAGATTGTGACTGACCCGTGTGAAGCCAACAGAGTCACTTAATATGATCCACACCTAGTAGATATTAATCTAAATGAATAAACTAACATTGATAAATGTACCTTTCTGCTCTGATAGCAACATTGACGGAAAGACTATTGTTGCAGTGAAGTAGGGCATTTGTTGTAAAAGCCTGATCATTTCTTGAATGGGGTACAAGTTAGAGAGAGCTGGCATGATGTTGTCTTATGTCCTATCCAAAAGACTGCAAGGTTCCACAAGAGGTTGTAGAAGGAGTTACAAGCAACCACAAAGAATATTTTAGCTTAAACCAAGTGGAGAACAAGTGAAAAATGAGAAGCTTCTAAGAATAACCTATGAAAGTAAATATAAGAAAGAGTCAGCTTTATACATGTAAGAGACCCAGTTAACATGATAACAACTAACTGCAGCACCAATTAATTGTGAACTTTCCATTCCCCCATCTCTCTCTTTCTGGGAGGAGAAGCCAGAAATCAGAGTTAGCACATGAAGGATGAAAGAAGAAGAAAGGATACAGCTCTGAATGCTGGAAAGTTTGACTATTATTCCAGACTAAACATTCTAGTTATTCACCAGAAGGTATTTTATTATCTGAATGTGACCAGAAAATTTAAAGAACAGAGTTTTTGTACAGGAATATAAAAGGAGAACCAGCCCCACTCAATATATTTAAAGAGACAAGAAGAGAAAAACTAGTCAGTTTCTGATTGCACCTCAATTGATGGGCTTGGTCATCATATCACATAAACCTAGAATCTCTTAGGAGGTAATGAGCTCCTCTCTTATAGCGATTGCCTGTCTATCAGTAGAAGATGTTTTGAGTGGGGTAGAGAATTGGTCTGACAGATTGCTAAGTTCTAGAGAATTGGTCTGACAGATTGCTAAGTTCTTTTTCAGCTAAAAGAGCACATGCTTTATTCTCAGTAGTTATTACGGACCTCAGGAGACTAAAACCTCCCTGAAGAATTTTCAGACACAAAGTCAGCATCACTCCCCTCTATCCCAGGGCCTATCATGAGACATAAAAGTGGCAGGCATGAATTCACTTCAGCAGAGAGAGGGAAGAACTTGTTCTGTGGGTGGCTCATCAGTCTCTCTTCTGGTGAGTTCTGAAACCCTGTAGGAATAAGCCAGCTGATTCTCCTGAAGCCTGCTCCATGAAAGCATTAGACTGGGCAAGGGGTATGGTGAGGGGAAGTGGAAGAGACTGGTGGAGGGTATCTGATAGAAGCATCTTAGTAGAATGAGCAAAGGAGCAGGAAAGATCTCTGGACTCGGGGTTCTTGTTCTGGCACTGCCATGTACTGATTTTATAACCCCAAGCAATTCATTGTACTTCTCTAGAGTTCTTACTTGCCATAGTCAATTTCTCTGTGACTCCAAGTTTCAAAGGGCAAAGTTTCTGTGGCTCATTAACACTGCTGCAAATTCAGAGAGGGAAGCAGGCCTCAGGATACAGGAACAGTTCAGGAATCTAGAAGGGAAGTGGTCACAACCTAACCCATGACAAACAGCTGAAGCACATGTGGTTTAATTTTACTCTTCCCTTATGAATTCAGTGATAACAAAATATGTAAAAGTCTCCAGGATATTAAAAGGAGAAATCAGCTAAACTTTAGATGAACAATGAACAGCTAACAACTTTCATTCTTTATTATCCATGATATAGATTGAAAACTATGGTCTTTAGACAGCCTTTCTGTACATTCCTCTAGTATCTCTCTACCTTCTTTCTGCCCCCATAACAGCACCATAGCAAACTCTCACAGGCAGTCTTTGCTTGATTAAAAAGTAAAATAAAGTAAAAGAACATCACAGCCATAAAGGGTCTCAGAGAAAATGTCCTTAAAAATAAGACATACACCAGGCACGGTGACTCATGCCCATAATCCCAGCACTTTTGGGAGACTGAGGTGGGCAGATCACCTGAGGTCAGTAGTTCGAGACCAGTCTGGCCAACATGGTGAAACCTTGTCTCTACTAAAAATACAAAAATTAGCCAGGCATGGTGGCAGGCGCCTGTAATCCCAGCTACTCAGGAGGCTGGGGCACGAGAATCGCCTGAACCTGGAAGGCAGAGGTTGCAGTGAGCCAAGATTGTACCACTGCACTCCACCCTGGACGGTGGAGCAAGACTCAGTCTCAAGTAAATAAATTAAATAAATAAATAAATAAATAAATAAATAAAATACATAGGTCTAGAAAAAGAAATGGAATTTTCTACACTCATATAGCCAGTACCTTCCAGAGCCAGGGTCAGGACTCCTGACACCCTCAGGGTCCTTTCTTCTAAACTGCCTGATTCTTATATGACTTCAGAAATGTCAAGCTTCTTGGTTCCAGGAATAGGAGAATTTGTGTTCGGCCTTGGAGACAGGTACTTTAGTATAATTTTTTCCTATGTATCTGCCTTTAGCCACTCACTTTCTTTGTTTAAGGGTACCTGTGAAATTTTTGTTCAGAAATGCATTCCTCTATTTTCCTTTTAAACTTCCTCTCCAATGCCTTAATGATGCTTCAAAGACCTTGGTAAGAGAGAAGAAAGTCATTGTTCAACTCCCACTTGTGAGTGAGAGCCTGCAGTGTCTGGTTTTCTGTTCCTGTGTTAATTTGTTGAGGATGATGGCTTCCAGCCTCATCCATGTCCCTGCAAAGGACGTGACCTACATGCTCTGCACATGTATCCCAGAAATTAAAGTGAAAAAAAAAAAAAAGAAAAGAAAAAGAGAGAGAGAGAGGAGAGTCTTAAAAGTCTTTAAATTGAGGTTTTATCACCTGATCTCCATAAACTGTGAGGAAAGTTCATCTCACTGGGTTTCAGTGTCCATATCTGTTAAGTATTAAATGAGAAAATAAATGTAAAGTTCTTTGCAGAGTACTTGGCACATCATGTGTGTTCAATAAGTATTCATTTTCTTTCTCAGTATTACTTTATTCCTATCTGTCCAGACAACCCACAAAGTTAGCAATCCCCAAGGTATGGGAATTGATGTAATTCTGGAACAGTCAGGCAGTCTTTCTTCTACAAATACTAAAACATAAGTACCCAGACCCAGAATGGCTTTGACTTTGCCCTGAACAAAATCCTGCTTTCAGCCTGTTTTATTCTCCCTTCTCTTTCTGTTACTTTTACATTGGCTTGGTTCTCTTCTATGTATTGTGATGTCTTTCTACAAGACTTTATGTGAAGAATGAGAGTGTAGTCAAACAGGAGAAATAAGAGACAAACATCAGTCCTGGATCCCAAGGAATCAGAGTTCTTGAGGAGACACAGGCATGTGCAGACTGCGTTCTAAGACCAGAAGGGACAAACTCAGTATAAACATGGAGGGGCCGCCACTGCCTTGCTGGAAACCATAGTACCTGTGAGTTATGTATTGCTGGGGAAATTTTTAAAATGCTTCCTGGGGTGACAATGCGGCATTGCACCCCATTCCACAACCTCTGTTACTTTTAGATACCTCATGCACCCTATTAGCTTGAAAAGTCTGCTTAGTGAAAAGCCTAGCCTTCTGTATCCTCATCTGCCATGAGTGGATGTTAGGACCAGATTGTTAAATGGCTTAACATAAAATGAGAATCTTAGGAAGTCACTTCCATTTTCCCTCTGAGATTGCATGGTGAATTCTCAGTCTTCTTAAATATTATTACTATATTACTATATTATATTTAGTAAATATAAGGCCATTGGAAATACTGAAGCTTTGACACACACAAGTGTGTCAAAAACAGAATAAACAATACAATCACTGTGACAGAGAAGTGGCTGTAGGAAATAATATGTGAGTGCAAGCATAAGAAAAATGGTGAATAAATACAAGACATTAAGTGTTTAAAAAGTGCCTGTGTGGATTAGTGGATTGATATCAGTGGGCAGTCCCCAAGCATGTAGATAGAAGGATTGTGTGAGTATACAAATCTATGTGTCTATGAGTGTGTATGTATGTATAAATGCTGCATATATGTCAGTGCAGACTGAGAGTATGAGGACAAGATGTGCATGTTAAATGGTATAAAGATCAAGAGGGACTGTGTGAATATATTTGCATAACAAGAGTGACTTTATGAGATATGGAGAGAGTATGTGAATGAGCATCTTGTTAGAGTATGAATGAACTTTTTTACTAGCTGTTGTGAAGGTACATTAATGTGTCCTTGTGACTAACGGGTATTTTGAGAGTACATTTAACCATGTGAGGGCATGTAAGTTTGTATTTGGAACAATGCTCTCACACACAGAATGCTAGTGTACCTATAGAATATTTAGGGACAAATGCATAATTTTTCCAGAAACAGATACAGCCTTGTGCCTTTGCACAAATACATGTTGTTTCTGTTGTTGCTTTTTTGCAGTAACTCTGCCAATGAAAAGCTGATGCCCAGAGGCCGTCAATGACCTCCACACCCTACTGTCCTTTTCCCTCTCCATCCAAGCACATGACATGATACAAACCTGCTCTGGGAATTTCTCTCATTAATTAGGGACACATGTGAATTAAGCAACGTTTTTAAGAAAATATTTAAATATTTCCAAGTGCTATTGATAACACAAACTCGTGCTTTCTTCTCTGGTGGTGTGAATTGTAGTTAGCATATTTCTATTGAATGATGCCTCCAAAATACATGAAAGTTGTAGAAATGTAGTTTAAACATTTTCCTTTTAACTAATTTCTATTATTGAAGTATTTGTCAATGTCTCCCTTCTTCATAAAACGGAGGGAAATATTAGCTCAGCCTGCAGCCTGATCATCATAAAATATGAAGAAAAGTTTGCCTGCATCATCTCAAAAGCAGTGATTTCATGAATGCATCAGTTTCCATTTATGTCAACATCATCGCTTTGTCTCTTATTTCCTGATTTCTTATCCTCCAGCAAGTGCAACTGTTAGAATTCTCCAAGTCAGAAGATCTGACCCTGAAAAGTACCCTAAGTTTGTTCTGCTATGGGGTCGTTCAATGTCACTCACCCTGCATTCTTCCTCCTGACTGGTATCCCTGGTCTGGAGAGCTCTCACTCCTGGCTGGTGGGGCCCCTCTGTGTGATGTACGCTGTGGCCCTTGGGGGAAATACAGTGATCCTGCAGGCTGTGCGAGTGCAGCCCAGCCTCCATGAGCCCATGTAGTACTTCCTATCCATGTTGTCCTTCAGTGATGTGGCCATATCCATGGCCACACTGCCCACTGTACTCCGAACCTTCTGCCTCAATGCCCGCAACATCGCTTTTGATGCCTGTCTAATTCAGATGTTTCTTATTCACTTCTTCTCCATGATGGAATCAGGTATTCTGCTGGCCATGAGTTTTGACCGCTATGTGGCCATTTGTGACCCCTTGCACTATGCCACTGTGCTCACCACTGAAGTCATTGCTGCAATGGGTTTAGGTGCAGCTGCTCAAAGCTTCATCACCCTCTTCCCTCTTCCCTTTCTTATTCAGAGGCTGCCTATCTGCAGATCCAATGTTCTTTCTCACTCCTACTGCCTGCACCCAGACGTGATGAGGCTTGCCTGTGCTGATATCACTATCAACAGCATCTATGGACTCTTTGTTCTTGTATCCACCTTTGGCATGGACCTGTTTTTTATCTTCCTCTCCTATGTGCTCATTCTGCATTCTGTCATGGCCATTGCTTCCCGTGAGGAATCTCTCAAAGCTCTCAACACATGTGTGTCACATATCCTGGCTGTACTTGCGTTTTATGTGCCAATGACTGGGGTCTCCACAGTGCACCGCTTTGGGAAGCATGTCCCACACTACATACATGTCCTCATGTCAAATGTGTACCTATTTGTGCCTCCCGTGCTCAACCCTCTCATTTATAGTGCCAAGACAAAGGAAATCCGCCAAGCCATTGTCCACATGTTTCGCCACATCAAAATATGACTTTCACACTTGGCTTTAGAATCTGTTGTTTATTTTGGCCATAGGTTCTCATCAGTAGCATCATCATCATCATCATCAAAGTATAAGATAGATTATGTGCTGTGGGGAAGGTAGGCCAGGAAATGGTGATGCAAAACTTATAACACAAAACAAGGAGTTCCAAATGAATAGTACATTCACTAAATACCAACAGCATTCTTAGAAAGATAAATATTGGGGGCAATTGAGTAATTAGACAAGTTTTACAGAGGAAGATTAATTTAAGCTAGGAATTATTTTCTATAATAATGAATATTACTAATATAACAATTAACGAACTTAGTCCTAAAATGTGTCAAGTTCTATTATAATTTGTGTGTATTAATTCACTTAATATTCATACAAATCCTCTAAGACACAGATAATTAATTCTTCAGACTAACATAGATAATATGTGGTCCAGTTGACATTCAAGACTAATCTCTCTCTATTGTTAGTGCAGCACCCAACCACTACAAATATGGCCTGACAGTCAAATTGGCATCATTTAACATTACCATTGCTGCCTCTGCTTTCCCCACCACTGTCATTCTCAAACACTCACACATTGCTTTAACTTCACAAAGTGACATCAGATTAACTATTAGAACTCACCACAAAATGTATGAACAAATGTGACCCAGGTAAACTGATAGATATTGACATTTAGGAAAATCTCCAGATTTCTCTTTACTTCTTTTATCTGCCCAGCACTCAACCCTCACCAACAGAAAGTGATATTCAATATCTGAGATATCTGATTCACAGAATTTTGGGGGATAGGGCAAATTATGCTAGGGGCACAACTTCTCTTTCTCTTTCCTTCTTGAGGTTTTAACTGTCTTCCAAAAAATTACATGTTAAGAGATGTTAGAAATTAAATCCTTCTAGGATTTCCAGTTGCAAAAAAAAAAAACAAAAACAAAAACAAAACAAAACAAAGCCTAGGATAGACAGACTAGAGCACTTATTATTTAGATACCAGAAAGTAATTCTTTCAGACCTTCTCATACTCTTCCCTTGATACCAGAGGTAGGATATAGTAAGAAATTCCTTGGTGCTAATTTTGGCGCTCTCATACTAAGTTTAGATTTACTTGTAGATCAAAAGAGAAAAAAGAGACAGGGGAGAGAGAGAGGGAAAGAGGAAGAGAGAAAGAGAAAGAGAGAAAGAGAAAGAGAGAGATATATAGATATAGATATAGATATAGATACTATGTAGTCTAACTTAGCTCACCAGGGAAACTCATCCAGAAACCACATGATAGCAAAGCATATTGTTATCTAGAGTTTTTTCTCTTTGTACAAAGCTGTATTGAGGAACTATCAAGAAGAGACAGAGTCAGAAAGAAGGAGCTATTTTAAAAAGGAGACAATGTAAGTACTCGGGATTCAGATTTTTCAAAAATGTCTACAGGTACAATAAGAGACGAATAATACATGTGTCCTGGTCCACTAAATAGATTGCTTTTAGAACAATGTTGGGATAGCGCAACTTAGCATGATTTCCAATGGAAAATTATTAGGATATTTAGTGGTTTAGATTAAAGCATGGTCTTCAGTCAATTTAAATGATAACTTTTCTGATTCATATAAGAAGTTCCTATTTCAACATGAAATAATAATTTTAATGTTTTGATATTTTAGTTTCAAGTATATACAATGAATACATAAATGTAAAGGCAAGGTTTAGGGAAGCTGCCTAATGAAAGAAAACTCTCACTGATTCCTACCTCAGAAGCAGCAAAGGATACATTCTTTTGACCATAGGCCTTACTTAGAAACCCAATGGTGTAACATAGAAAGGACAAGGAACAAGAAAATATGAGCCTCCCAAAAAGCCTGTGACTCCTTTGCACTTTATTTTCCCCTTCCTTTCTTCAGCATTAATTAAAAGAGCTACTGATTTTTGGTTCTAATGGAAAAGGCATATTTATATTTTTCCCTCCCTCACGAGGCAGGTGCCATAAGAAAAATGTAGGACCACTCCTGCAGCTCTAATCCTAAAAAGGCCTAAGCTAAGCCCTGTTTTTGTTTTTGTTTTGACTTTGGGTTAAAAACTCTTTAACTTCTTTTTATTTGACATGATCGTTTTTGAACTCAACATTTTCCCTTATTGAAACAGCAAAAATACTTGAATTTTGGCCTAAAATAAAGGTAAAAATCAAACTGTTTTTGAATTCTTTGGTTACTTTTTCTTTTCTGAACTTTTATTTTAATTTCAGGTGGTACATGTGCAGGTTTCTTACATGAGTAAATTGCTGTCACTGGGGTTTGGGGGACAAATTATTTCATCACCCCGGTAGTGAGCATATATTTCCTGCCCAAATCTCATGTTGAAATATAATCCCCATTATCGAAGGTGGAACTTGGTGGGAGGTGACTGGATCACAGGGACAGATTTCTCACACATAGTTTAGAACCATCCTCTTGATGCTGTTCTCATGATAATGAGTGAGTTCTCACGAAGTCTAGTTGTTTAAAAATGTATGGCACTGCCTACCTCTGTCTCTATTAGTCCTGCTCTGGACATCTGATGTGCCTTCTCCATCTTCACCTTCCACAATGACTGTAAGTTTCCTGAGGCCTTCCCAGAAGCCAATCCGATGCCAGCATCATGGTTCCTGTACAGCCTGCAGAACGATTATTTCTTTACAGCAATGTGAAAATGAATTAATACAGCATAGTAACAAATAGGTAGTTTTTTGAACCCCATACTCTTCCCATAATGCCCCTTCAAGTAGGCCTGAGTGTCTGCTGTTCCTATCTTTGTATCCATGTGTATTCAAAGTGTATCCATGTGTATTCTCCCACTTGTATGTGAGAAGAGATGGTTTTGGTTTTCTGTTCATGCATTAATTCACCTAGGATAATGACCTCAAGTCACATCCATGTAGCTGCAAAGGACATGATTTTGTTCTTTTTATGGCTACACAGCACTCCATGGTATGTGTGTACCACATTTTCTTTAACCAGTCCACTGTTGAAGGGCACCTTGGTTTATTTCATGTCTTTGCTATTGTAAATAGTGCTGCAATGAACATACAAGTGTATGTGTCTTTTTGGTAGAATGATTTATACTCCTTTGGGTATACAGTAATAGGATTGCTGGGTCAATGGATAGCTCTATTTTAAGTTCTGTGAGAAAATATCCAAACTTCTTTCCACAGTGGCTGCACTAATTTACATCCCCACCAACAGTGTATAAATGTTCCATTTTCTCTGCAACCTCGCCAGCATCTCTAATTTTTTGATTTTTTTAGTAATAGTCATTCTGACTGGTATGAGATGATATCTCATTGAGGTTTTGATTTGCATTTCTCTAATGATTAATAATGTTGAACATTATTCTATATGCTTGTTGGCCACATATATGTCTTCTTTTGAGAATGATATCTTTATGTCCTTTGCCCATTTTTAATGGAGTTATGTGTTTTCCATGTTGATTTAAGCTGCTTATAGATTCTGGATATTAGACATTTGTCAGGTCCACAGTTTGGAAGTATTTGCTCCCATTCTGTATGTTATCTAGTCACTCTATTGATAGCTTCTTTTGCTGTGCTGAAGGTCTTTAGTTTAATTAGGTACTACTTGTATATTTTTGGTTTTGTTGCAATGGCTTTTGGAGATTTCATCATGAAATATTTCCCAAGGCCTATGTCCAGAATGGTATTTCCTAGGTTTTATTCTAGGATTTTTATAGTTTTAGTTATAGTATCATGTTTAAGTGTTTAATTTATTTTGAATTGATTTTTGTGTATGATGAAAGGAAGGGGTCCAATTTCAATCTGCTGGGTATGGTTAGCCAGTTATCCCAGCATTGTGTATTGAATAAGGATTATTTTGCCCACTCCTTTTTATTTTTGACTTTGTCAAAGATCAGATGGTTGTAGGTGTGTGGCTTTGTTTCTGGTTTCTCTAACCTGTTCCATTGGTCTATTTGGACCAGTAACATGCTGCTTTGGTTACTGTAGCCTTGTAATATAGTTTGAAATCAGGTGATGTGATGCCTCTGGTTTTGTTGTTTTTGTTTAGGATTGCTTTGGCTCTTTGCATTCTTTTTTGGTTGTTTTATATTAATTTTCAAATAGTTTCCCTAATTCTGAGAAAAATGATGTTGGTGGTTTGATAGGAATAATGTTGAATCTCTGAATTGCTTTGGGTAGGTCATTTTAACAAAATTGATTCTTCCTATCCATAAGCATGAAATATTTTCCCGTTTGTGTCCTCTCTGGTTTCTTTCAGCAGTGCTTTGTAATTCTCATTATAGAGATCGTTCACCTGCACAATTAACTGTAATAGTAGGTATTTTATTCTTTTTGTAACTATTTTGACTGGGAATGAGTTCTTGATGTGGCTCTCAGCTTTGATGTTATTGATATGTAGAAATGCTACTGAATTTTTTCTTTTTTTTTGAGACAGAGTCTTGCTCTGTCACCCGGGCTGGGTGCAGTGGCCGGATCTCAGCTCACTGCAAGCTCCGCCTCCCAGGTTTATACCATTCTCCTGCCTCAGCCTCCCACGTAGCTGGGACTACAGGCGCCCGCCACCTCGCCCAGCTAGTTTTTTGTATTTTTTAGTAGAGACGGGGTTTCACCATGTTAGCCAGAATGGTCTCGATCTCCTGACCTCGTGATCCACCCGTCTCGGCCTCCCAAAGTGCTGGGATTACAGGCTTGAGCCACCATGCCCGGCCAATGCTACTGATTTTTGTACATCAATTTGTCTTAAACTTTGCTGAAATTCCTTATCAGATCTAGGAGCCTATAGGCAAAGATTATGGGATTTTCTAGGTACAGAAACATGTCATCTGGAAACAGGGATAGTTTAACTTCCTGTCTTCCTATTTGGATGCCTTTTATTTCTTTCTCTTGCTTGACGCTCTGGCTAGGACTTCCAATACTATGCAGAATAAGAGTGGTGAAAGTGAACAGCCTTGCTTTGTTTCAGTTCTCAAAAGGAATGCTTCTAGCTTTTGTCCATTCAGTACAATTTTGGCTGTGGGTTTCTCATAGACAGCTCTTATTATTTTGACGTATAATCCTTCAATGCCTAGTTTATTGAGTGTTTTTAACATAAAAGGATGTTGAATGATATTAAAAGGCTTTTCTGTCTCTACTGAGATGGTCACATGGTCTTTGCTTTTAGTTCTGTTTAAGAGATGAATTACATTTGTTGATTTGTGTATGTTGAACCATCCTTGCATCCCAGGAACATAAAGCCAACTTGCTTATGGGGGATTAGCTCTTTGATGTGCTGCTGGATTAAGTTTGCTAGTATTTTGTTGAGGATTTTTTCATCTGTTTTTATCAGGAATATTGGCCTGCTAGTTTCATCAGGAATATATTGTATCTCTGCCAAGTTTTGTCATAAGGATGATGCTGGCCTCATAGAATGAC